GCAGGAGGCTCTCCATATGTGTTGCAATAGCCCCCGGCTGTGGTTGCTGCAGTGCTCCCGTAAAACGAGCGATGTCTTGGCACCAGCTGAAGGCTTGCACGGCCCACATCACATGGTTTCTGCACGGTATTCGGATTTTGCTATTTGTTCGTGTGGGGGCAGATTTGTCAATGGTACCGCGTCTGCGACGTGGGCGCCTTGCGGGCAGAGCCCTTAGCCACCCTTTATATCTTGCGCGGTCAAAACAATCCCAGCGACGGCGAGCACCACACTCCTCTCTCTCCTTCAAATCCCTGTGTGGTGGCGGCGTGCCGTCCTCCCATCCCTCCCTTGGCGCTTGGGTTGTCTGTTTTCTTTCTTTTTGTCTAACGTACGATCAAAATAGCGGAAACAATGCCGGTGCGACTGTGAAGATAGTTAGTCAGTGTATGTAGCTCTTACGTACATTCCCGGAGGAGGACTGCTGATAGGGTTTGCGATGAGGAGCGACCCGATGGGTTTCTCGGAGGTTAGTGCACCACTAACCGCCGAAGCGCAAGCGCTGGGAGCAAGAACACTACGACCTGGGTCGGGCTCATACTAGCACCCCACCTCGCGGCGGGGCACCCGGCGGCTCGGGTCACTTCTCATCGCAAACTCGGTCGAGCAGGAGGTAAGGTGTGTGCGTGTGGGAGGCGGCGCGGCACTGTGGGAGCGGCGGTACGGCGGCACGGCGGTAACGCACGGCAGGAGGGACGGCGAATAAATGGCAAGGGCGGCGCGGCGCGGAAGGAGCGGCACGGTAAGGAACGGCGGCACGGCGGCAGACCACGGCAGCGAATCCCTACAGATAGAGACCGGACGCACGTGTTGTCGACACGTGTTGGGGGTTGATAACAACCGCACGCACTCCATCCAAGTGCTCCAAGACCAAGTGCATGCATGCAGCCAAAAAAAAAAAGTAATATATCTTTACTTCCAAAACCCGGACGTGCCTCCACCGGCACGCCGCTTCCGACAGGGTGATGGAAGGTTCGACGCACCCCCGGACTGGGCAGAGAGATCCCAGTGCATCTGCGCTGGGCTGTCCACCCCGCCCCCACTTGCCCTGACTACACAGGATAGCGTGCCCCGACAAACGGCGACACATAGCGGGGGACACTGCGCCGGGGGGTATGCCTAACTTTGGTGCTTTGTGTGGGTCGCGTTCCCATGGTAGCTGTGTGGCTGAAGCCCTCGTGCCGCTGGCTTGCCCCTTCCAGCGGCTGGCCCCTCGAGACTGTCGGTGCTTGGCGGGAGGAGGGGGAGAGGGAGGCCCGGTGGGAGGAGAGGGAGAGGGAGGCCCGGTGGGAGGGGAGGGAGAGGGAGGCCGTCTTGGGCTCTTCTCCTCCCCCCTCCCTGGGCTCTTCTCCTCTCCCCACCCTGGGCTCTTCTCCCCTCCTCCCTGGTACTCTCGGCCTGATTACCGGAGCGACTGCCAGAGCAGACGCTGGGGGGACACTCGCGCCCGGAGGCGGTACGCACGACCCGGAGGCGTGGGGATGGGGGGGGGCCGCGCCGCCGCCGCCGTGCCGCCTTCTCCCGCTTTGACCTCCCCCAGCTGCTTCTCCTCAAATCAACCTGTGAGCTTGCGAGGCGGCGGGGGTGGGAGTGCTCTCGGGCGGCGTGTGCGAGCGCGCGCGGCGCGAGATCTTTTTCGCGAGGGCACGGTGGGTCGGGTGAGTATCTCGCGCGCTCGCACTATTTTACGTTATATCAAGCACTGCCTTTGATGCCTTTGCAAGAACCGCCAGCGGCGGTGGTCGAACCGGTTCGCGGTTCGAGCCGGGACCTTTTGGCTCCCGGTTCGGAACTCGCTTGGAGGGTTGCTTCGCTCTCGCGGAGCGAGCGCGGGCGCGTGGGTGCGTGTGCGCATGCGCTGCTGCAAGGCGAGGCGAGGCGCGGGGCGGCGCGGCGCGGCGAGGCGGGCGGCGGCGGCGCGCTTCCTTTTGCCCGGGTGAGGCGTGGCTTGCGCGCCGCGCGGTGATGACGCAGCACGCTGAAAAGTCCTTGGTGAGCCACCGCGGTGGCGGCGAGCCAAAGCAAGCCACCTGCCGCATGACGGGTTGACCGACGGCGTCTGCCTTCCAGGGTGGTCTGAGAGTACAGAGACCGTAAATAGAGAGTGATGACAGTATGTCCCTCGACACAGCCATGGACACACAGCACACCACGAACAGGCGGAGCGATCGAAACCAGAAACGGATTGCACGAGAATCGAGCACGAGAACTCTCCACTCCCATGCCTGCGCTCAGTCGTAGTTGCTCGGGGCTGGCGGCGTGCGCTACGCGGAGCCAGCCCAAAGCACCGCCGCCCCCGCCGCCCCGTCAGCCCCACTCGCCGTACTCTGGCCGGCTCTCGCGCCGGCAGCTCGGCTCGCGCGAGGGCGGCACCTGCCCGTACAGCGCGCGCATCGCCGCGTCGTAGTCGGACGGCACCGCTCGGCTGCCGGGCGGCGCGCCACGAAACATGCGCAGGAAGAGGCGGCGCCACTGCTGGCGCAGCTCGTCGAGCAGGCGGCGGTTGGCGGCGCGCATCGCGGCCGAGGTCGCCGCGAGGTCCGCGCTGCGCAGCTTTGCGAGCAGGTCTGGCCACGAGTCGAAGTAGGTGATGTGCGGGAAGTGGTAAAAGTCGCAGAGGGCGAGCCAGTGGCGCAGGGCGGCGGGGTCGTCGCGCGTGTTTGGCGAGAGCGAGGTGCCGTTCGCGAGGCGGAGGGGCCGCGGCGCGGCCGTCCAGTAGATGCGCTCCTTGAGGAGGGAGTGCCGCCGCTCCCACTGGACGAGCAGCTCGAGCGAGGGGGCAAACATCGGCACGTTCATGCGGTAGAGCTCGAAGAAGGACATGACGGACTTTGTGTACGGCAGCAGGACCACCGCGGGGTGCCTCGCCAGGTCAGAGTACCTGTGCAACCAGCCGGGCCGGCGTGAGACGCCTCCGCACGTCTGCGGCCGTGCGGGCGAAGAGAGAGAGAGTGCTCGAAGCCGCGCGGGTAGGCGTCCTCGGTGCGCGCAAAGGAGAGGGGGCCGCCCCGCCGACCCAGCTCGCCCGCCCCGCCGCCCGCCCCGCCGCCCGCGCCGCCGCCCGCGCCGCCGCCCGTCGCCTCGGCGCGCCGCCCGCCGCCCGCCGCCTCGCGGCGTGCGCCCCTGCCGCGACCGCGTCGGCGGCCGCGGCCGCCCCGCGGCGCGCCGCCGCCCTCGCGGCGGGCCGCGGCCTGCAGCTCCCGGATGAGGACGGCCGGGTTGTTGTGGTTTCGCGCGATGAGGAGCGGCTTGTGCAGCTGCGGCGAGTATGGGCCGGCCGAGCGAGCCGCGTAGCCGCAGTAGGAGGGGATGTACTCGGCCTCGATGCCGGCAAAGTGGCGGATATAGGCGGCGTCGTACGGGTTGTTGGCGGCGATCACGTTGCGCCGGTTGGCGGCGATCGCGCGGAGGGAGCGTAGCCACTCGGCCCACCGCTCCTCGTTTTCGCGCGAAAACTCGAGGTTGACGGTGGCGACGACGAGGAGTGACTTGTTGAAGGGCATGTACGCCTCGCAGAGCGCCGGCGGGTGGTTGCAGACGAAGGCGTCCACCGCGGCGAGCGGCGAGTCGGGACCGCGGTACGCGTCGAAGAAGGCGCGACGCAGCGCATGCGGCCGCGGGCAAAAGTCAAAGGCGTTCTCCTTGGTCAGGACGCGCAGCCCGCGGGCGCAGGTGGGCTTGCGGCCGCCAAACGCGCGGCCGCACGCGCCCGAGAAGGAGTGCTCCTCGACTCGCATGCAAAGGCCCGCCTCGTCGCACAGCGACGCAAAAACGTCGGCGAGGTCGGCTATCGGCGCGATGTGGTAGTCGGTCGAGAAGAAGGTGTAGCCGCCGCGCTTGTCGCCCGTGGCGCGGACCGGCCGCTGCAAGAGCCCGCGGCCGCCGGGAACGACCGCCGCTGCGCTGGACGCGAGGCTCGCCCACTCCCTGACGGCAGTCGCGCCCGGCTGCTGCGTGGCAGCGGTCCGCACCGGTGCTCGCGCTGGCTGCGCCGCCCGCAGCAGCAGCAGCAGCAGCAGCGCGGCCGTCGTGAGCACCAGCAGTGCCGGGCACCGAAACGTCTCCTTGGGTGGCATATCCGCGAGGCGTCGGGAGGCGGCGCGCGACAGGCGTGTGTATGCTCGGCGTGGAGCATCAAAGAATTCCGCGGCATTGGTAGGGAGAGGAGTGCGTTTTAGAGCGTGCAAGGCAGAGAGAGATGAAGCCGCAAAAGAGGCGCGCGAGGCAAGGAGGAGAAACGGAGAAATGGAGAGATTGGGACGATGGGACGCCACCAGTGAGGGAGGGCGAGACGATCGAGGGGTCCCGTACCATGCGGAATCGACCCTATCCAGTGCTCAAGTGCTCAAGAAGACAGTGAGCCGCCACTGAGCGGCACTGCGGCAGCTGCGCTGGAAACAAGGAAGAGGCGCGTTAATACTTCATGCGAGGGCGACAGCAAGAGTCGAACGGGCGGCGCCTGAATGAATCAAAAGAAAGACCCGGCTGCCACATCTCTGAGAGAGCGTTAATACGGCAAGATTTTCGTCGCCTCCGGCGGGGCCGCTCGCCGCGGGGCTAGAGAGTGCCTTTTGTCGATGTCGGCTAGAATTCCTCCACCTTTTTCAGAATTTCACCGAAGAGGACGAAGCCCCGGCGTGAAGACTGACTGAAGTTGCGCCGGCGCAGACTCAGCCCATACAAATCCCACCCCCCCCCACCGATCCACCCACAGCTGGGGATGATCCGCCGCGGCCCCGCCCGCACGCCATTCCTCGCCGCCGTGCAGCCTGCGTGCGCAGCTCTGCGGCAGCCCGCCGTGCACGGGCCGGTGCGGGCGGCGAGCTACTACGAGGTGGTGGATGGGCATAAGCGCGACAGGAAGGCGCTCGACGCGGCACGCGAGGCGGTCAAGGGTAAGGGCGACGGTGTGATCAGCAAGGCAGACACGAAAGCCATCCTGGCTACCCTGGTTGACGGCCAGGGCGTGACGGCTGCCGAGTTTGGGACGGCCTTTGTCATTCTTCGAGACTTCAAGTTCACGGCGCCCGCGAAGAAGCTCTTCATTCAGGAGCTGGCGCTCGCTCAACCGCAAGCCTGAGCAGTGTGGCAACGCCCACGGCCGATGCGAGGCACCAATGCCAGGCATTACCAGCGTCGGCAAGGCCAGGGGACTCGCAACCTGGTCGCAACGCACACAAACCTTGAGATACAACCAACCCACGCCTGCAGCAGCCACCTGAACCGCGAATGGCAACCGCAATATGCCAGCCTCGGCCACCGCGTCAACTCCACTGGACGCCGGGGCTAGCACACGGGCCGAGCGATCCTGGTGTCACCCGGGGTCGCGCTATGCGGCGCGCGGAGCGCGGCCTGGGGAGCCTGTCGAGGACTGGGGCTCCACTCGAGGTCATGTCCACACATAGATTCCAAAGCATTGTTAATTGCAAAGGGGGGAAAGGTCCCTCGACCCCCGCCTGCAACCCTCGCGCGACAGCACACCACTGCTCCGCACGAGACGCCGTTGCAGGACCAACCCCCAAACGCGACAGCGGACAAACGCGACAGCGCACACATAGGGAGGGAGGGTGGGGAAACAAGAGCCGTGGGTTGCGGGCGTCTCTCTCAAGGGCAGACAATGAGAGCAGAAGGCAGACACGTCCCGCACATGTCCCCGTTCACAGTTGAACTAATTCTAACGGCTGTACACTGTTTATTAATCGGCCGTCCGCGAGCCCCTCCTAGCTCGCCGACGGCGAGAGAGATGCCACGAGGGGTCGCGGTGGCGTCCATCGCCAGGCTCCCTAGCTCAACCGACGACCCTTCGGGATCGACGGCCGATCGTCATGAGCCTGTCGAGGACTGGGGCTCCACTCGAGGTCATGTCCACACATAGATTCCAAAGCATTGTTAATTGCAAAGGGGGGAAAGGTCCCTCGACCCCCGCCTGCAACCCTCGCGCGACAGCACACCACTGCTCCGCACGAGACGCCGTTGCAGGACCAACCCCCATCGCCATCCATCGTAGAACATGATCTCGAGCACTGCCCCAGCCCCCCAGCCACTACACCATCATAGTCACCCGCGCGAGCCTCTCGATGCGCGAGGCGAGATCGAGGCCGGCGTAGTGCTGCTGCATCGACCTCGCTCGCTCCTGCTCGTTCCAACTAAAGAGCAGTCGATGACTGTGTTGGTAGCGCCGATCAGGTCGACCATCCTCGCGCGGAGCGCCTTCACTCGTCGGTCGGACATCAGGCCGTTGGCTGTGGTCTTGGCGATGACTCCGCCCGCCGCCCTCAGGATCGTCTCGAACGAGCGCGCGCGGCCGGAGTCCTTCGCGAGCCAAGTGATGAACTCCAGCATCGACTCGACACTGTAGCGGGGGAGCACGACGCCGCCGCCCACGCTCGCAGCCCACGCCTCCTCGAGCCGAGTGTACTCCGCGAGGTCCTTCGACGTGGAGGAAGCCTCGGTGCACAGCTCGGCGAGCATCGTCCGAGCTGCGTCCCTCTCGAGGGACGCCTCCCTCCGGCTCACCTTCTCGATGATAGTCGGAGCCTTCTCGTCGGCCGCTCGGCCGCACTCGTCACGGCCGGCGTGTACGAAGCCGGCGCCACGAGGCTCGATCTTGGCGCCCAGCCCAAACACACCGCCACAGCCCGCGCAAGTCATGCTGCGGCTCTGGCAGCGCTGGACGGCGCCTGAGACCGACGGCTCTCGGTCCTTCGATATGGCAGCTGGAGCGGCGCCCGGCACGACGCGCCTCCGCGCCGCAGCCGCCTCGTCCGCGGAGGCTCGAGCCAGCCTCAGGGCGTCGTCTGGAGAGACGCCGCCCTTGTCGACCCGCAAGCCCCCAAGCGCCTCGGCTAGCGCGGCTTCGCCGTCTGCTGGCGGGATGGCACCGTCCGTGGCGGCGCTCTGCGCCCGCCACCTCTCCAGCTGCTGCACGGCCGCCTTCCAATCGAAGGAGAAGCGGCCGACGACCCCGTCGCCTGAGGGTTCCTCCCGAGTGACGAAGTCGTTGACGAGCCAGTAGTTGGCGAGGTCTGAGCTGTTGTACACCCATGGCGAGCGAGTCGAGCCGTCATGATAGCTGCACCCGCCGCGCGAGCTGCCGTCCAGGAGCTCGAAAGTACGCGGTTTCCCGCGCACGCCCAAAAGCTCGGCCACTGGGATGGGCCATCCGCCGTCGTCGAGCTCGACCACCGACGGGTCGAAGGTGGAGGCGACCTGGACGAGGTTGCCTCTCTCCGTCGCCTTAGCCTTCGACTCCGGAGGGCTCCAGAGGAACGAGCCGGCCATCATGACCCTTGGCCGGCCGCCAGGGAGGAGCGCTGGCGTCGCGCCTGGCGCTCGGGGGAAAGACAAGACGAGCGTCGGGCGCCGGACTCGACAGCTGACGAATCTCCCCATCTGCTGCATCTCGACTACCCCCTCCCCCCGGGTCTGAGAGCCATCATCGACGGCATAGCGCCCCAAGATTGAAAAATGGCGAAGCAGTCGAGACCAGCCCGCATTTGGTGCGTCCGGCACCACCATGACTCCGCTGATCCGTTGACCGCCCGCCTCTGAAAGTCGCTCCCCCACACGCCGCAGGGCGGAGCCCACCGTGCTGTGCGTGGGGTGCACCCAGAGGTGGGGAGGCGGCTTGCCGCCTGCGCCCTTGGCTGCGGGCTCGCCACGGAGGCACCCATCCTCGCCACCTGGGGATGGGGAGCTGCCTCCACCCGGACACCTTTGCTGCGCCCCGACCTCGGCGGCGGCGTGCCGCCTCTCGGCGCCCACGAACTCGGTGAAACGTCCCGTCAGGCGCTCGATGGCGGCGAACTCCGCCGCCGCTAGCCGTACCCGCGGCTCCTCGATGGGATCGCCTCTCGAGGTTTGGTCGGGCCGGTGGAGGAGCACGCCCGGCGTGTGGACGAAGCGGAGCTCGATGTCCCACCTCTCCGCCGTCTCGAGCAGCCGGCGCAGCGTCTCCTGCATCGACACCGCCGTCGACGCCTGGTTCTGCGCGGCGCCGATGGCGGCGGTGTTATCGCCCTCGACAAGCACCGCGCTGCCCTGAAGCTGCTCGCCGTAGAACTGCACGACTCGAAGGATCCCGAGCAGCTCCCGAGCGTTGATAGACCACGCCTGCTCGACCGGGCTGAACTGCAGCTGCACCTCGGCACGTTGGCCGTCGAGCCAGGCGAGCTGGCCTGTGCCCCAGTCGCTCGCGTCGGTACCTGTGATGGCGGCGACGGCGCGAGGCCGCCGGTCCAGATCGGTGCAGTTGCGCCGAGCCAGCATCGCCGACCACCACTCGAGGTCGCGGAAGAAGTCCGCGCTCAGCTCGATCTGGCGCCACGGAGTGCGAGGGGTGGGGCCGGGACGGCGACGCCGCTCAGGCGCTGGCGTCGCCACCCGCACCTTCCCACGTCTCCAGTCGACCTCGAGGCCCTGGAACTGCGAGAGCGTGCCCTGCATATACGTCCGCCCGCCGGGGATGACCTGCGAGGCGAAGACCATATGGCCGAGAAGGCGAGCCAACTCGACCGGCTCCGCCTCGGCCGGCCGCCCGTCGAGTCGGCGCCTCGACAGCCAGTCCGTGATCATCCCCTGCAGCCTCTGCTGCCTCGCCTCGGTCAGGGCGATGCATCGGCGGCCCGGGAAGTTGCAGATGAGGAGCCCGAGGAACTCGATGCACCGGCACGGCCCTCGCGCCTTGTGCGGCGCCCACTCGAGGCCCATCTCCTGGCAGACCGCCTCGAAGACGGCGCCGCCATAGCGCGCTGCCTCCTCGGAGTCCCCCACGATCAAAAAGTCGTCCACGTACGCGAGAATGTGTACGCCGCGGCCCGCGCAGCGCCGCCGAACCATAGCCGCGATGGTCTCGGTGACGGCGCAGAAGATGCGCGGCGAGTCCGCCCAGCCAAACGGCAAGCTCGTGCAGCGCACAAGCATGCCCGTGATCGGGTGGCGCAGGACAAAGTGATTCCGAGACGCGCGGTTGATCCGCACGCCCCAGAACCCATCGCGCAAGTCATGCTTGACGAAGTGGGAGTCCGGGCCGAGCAGCCGGCCCACGTCCCAGGCCGAAGGGAGGACAAACGGAGCCGTCCTCGTCACTCGGTTGAGGCCGACGTCGTACGACTGACACGCTCGATGTTTGCCGCCGCCCTGGTCCACGATGGTCCAGGGATGCACGCAGCGCACCTGGTCGTACTCCGAGAGAGGGACGGGCTCGAGATGGCCGGCCAACAGAGCCCGGTCCACCTCCCTGCCGCACTGCGACTCGGCCTGGAGGGAGGAGAAGGGGTACTGCGCGACCTCGTACCTGCCCAGCTCGGCCTCGGTCGAGACGCTGACCCCCTCGGTCATGGCTAACCGGACCTCCTCCCTCATCACCGGATACCTGGCCATCTCGGCGGCCCCGAGGTCTCCCGATCCGGCCCTAGCGGCGTGAGCCCACGCCTCGGGCGCGTGTGGGAGAGGACGGTAGGTGGCAGCCGCCTTGTCCAGAGCGTCTGGCTTCCAGCCCGTCTGATCCCGCCAGTCCATGTACTTGCGAGCCTCAGAGTGGTCGAGACGGCTCTCCCGGCTCGCCCACAGGCGACCGCCCGCAACCAGGGCCGGGCGAGAGGCGAGACCCGGCGAGGGAGCGCCGCCTCGCCAGTAACTCGCCGGCACGTCGGGGGGAGAGAAGCCCCGCTCTCGCCATTGCTCGGCGACGTCGCGGTCGACCCTCACCACGACGGAGGTGGCGGAGGCGGCCAGCGCGGCCTCGATGGCCGGCCACGCCGCCTCCAGCTCCGGGCCGGGCACGTCCAGGTACGTGTTGTGCCCGGTGAGAGCGCCCGCCTCGAGCCGATCGAGACGTCGATTCGGCAGCAGCTCGTCGAGCCAGCCCGCCTTGACCTCGCCGTCAACGCGCTGCTGGTCGAAGCCGCCGACATATGAGTAGAAGAGCTCGCGGAAGACGAGCTCCTCGTCTGTGAATGTCCGGTCACCGTCGCTGCCGGCTCCAGCCGGTGCCGTCCGAGGCGCCTCTGCGCGCTCCGCCGCCGCCGCCCTACCCTGCCACTCGAGAGCAGCGGCAGGCTCAGCGTCGCCGGCGCCACGGAGCCAGCGGGCGATCTCGCGTTTCGCCCAAGCGGGCCGCTGCCGCATCTCGTCGAAGGAGATGAAGGGCACGCCGAACCGATCCTTGGCGATCGCGGCGCAGCACTGTGCGTAGCGGAGCCGGTTGTAGTCGGGAGGGATAGACTGCGCGAGCCGCGGGTACGACATGTGCCCCACGTCGATCCCCATCGCGTCTGCGCACTGCTCGACCGAGCACCGCATCGGATGCTCTCCTAGGGGCGAGAATATGTTGCCCCCGCAGCACGGCCCCACGGGCCGGCCGAACGAGTCTCTTTTACGCCACCTACGCCGCTGCCCGAGGCAGCACCGCCTGGCGAGCCGTGCGGCGGGCTCGGCGACGGCTCTGTCGACGACCAGCTCGAAGCTCGACTCGAAGAGCCGCGGCCTCGCCACCTTGAGACCGAAGAGGGAGCCTCGCAGCTCGACCGCGTCCTTCATGGCCTTGCGAGCCCCGGCCACGTTCTCGATGGACCAGTACTTGAACTGCCCGCGCAGCATGTCCCGAGTGTGGTCAATGAGCCCGGGCTGCTTCGCCGGCGTTCGTGCGTCCCTCGCCGTGCTATACTCCTTGCACGGAGGGGAAGCGAACGCAGCTAGAGCCCGGTGTTGGCGCCGCAAGGAGCCGATGAGAGCGTGGTCGATCGCGTCGCCCCGCGTGAAGGCCTCCGGCCCGAATCTGTCGATGTACTCGGGCATGTCGTAGAGGTCGACACCGTGGCTGCGTCCACCAGACCTCCTCGTGCCTTCGCTGCCGCCGCCACTGCCGCAGAAGAGCTCGAGAATGCCCGGGGTCTCGCCCGACTGAAGCCGCCTGAGGATGGCGACGTAATTGTCGTACCAGCCCATCCACTCCTCGGCGAGAGCTCGCTGAGCCGCAAACTCCTCGTCCGAGGCAAGGTTGCGCCCTCCCCCACACGACGGCGGACGCTCACGGCGCAACCAATGAAGCGCGAGGAGGACTCCTCTCATGCCGCCGCGCCGCCATCGGCCGAGGCGGATGGAGGAACGCACGACGTGCTGCAAGAAGCGCACGTGCGCCTCGAGAGCGCCGAGCGCGTGGGCTCGCCGTCGATCCCAGCCTACCTCGATGCTCGTGAGGCGGCCTCGCCGCCATCGACGTTGGGCAGCGACGACGAGGCGAGTCACCCATGTCGGTAGCGGCTCCGCGCGGATGCGCCCGGCACCGCGCCCAGTCCCGGACGCCCGCCCAATCCTGGGCGGCCCTCTGCCCCTCCACCGTCGTTGCAGGAGCCCGGCGGCGCGCGCGCGCACCACGCTGTCCAGCTCTGGTCGGTCGACGTCGGCGAAGCTCGCGCCGCCTTCGGCACATGCACATGCACATGTGCATGCACATGTGCCCGCACTTAGGCAGTCACCTGGCGGCCGCCCGGCTGCCCGATCCAGGAGCCGTCCGGCTCCCCCACGCTCCGTCCGGAGCGCATCAACACGCTCCGTCCGGAGCGTCACCACGCGCTTCCACCGCGACCAAATGAGCCCAGCAGCTGCCACGGCTCTCTCGTCGGCGGCAAGGCCGATCCCGGCCCGCGCGCAATCACCTGGCAGCCGTCCGGCTGCCCGATCCGGGAGCCGTCCGGCTCCCCCACGCTCCGTCCGGAGCGCATCAACACGCTCCGTCCGGAGCGTCACCACGCGCTTCCACCGCGACCAAATGAGCCCAGCAGCTGCCACGGCTCTCTCGTCGGCGGCAAGGCCGATCCCGGCCCGCGCGCTCCCGCCGTCGCTGATCTCCTCTTCGCCCGCCCGCTTGACACTCGTGATTGAGATGCCCACCTCGCCGCTGGGAGGCGGCGTGGCCTCAATGCTCGTCTGGCATCCTCTCACCCGATTCTGCCGCCGCCAAGCTGCCCGAATTTTCACGGCTGCATGTGTGCACGTCAGAGCGGCGGGTGCCGTCGAGCGGCTCTCCTCCAGCTTCCTCAGTGCAGCCTCATATCTGTGAGTCTTCCTCCTACTTCTCCCATGCCGCCTGCTTGCCAACCGCCCACGGTGCACTCGACGACCAAGCCTCATGTTGGCAGCGTCCTCAACAATGACGACCTTGTCAACCTGTCGGCAGCACTTCTGCGAGTCCACCATTGCGCTGCTGCTGGCCGTGAGCTTCGCCGAGCGTCGGCTGCTGCCTCTTTGACACGAGCGTTGGAAATTCTCGCTGCTGCCCCGGACCTGTGCCACATCAACTCTGAAGTGCACGGCGTCCACGGCCGCCATCACAGCAAGTCGTCAACGAGTCCACCAGCCCGCTTGACGATGCGACCAAGCCCCAATGCCACCAGGAGCTCGCCAGGAGCTCCGGAGCTCGCCAGGAGCTCCGAAGCGTGCACACAGCACGCGAACCGAAACAAGAGCCGTGGGTTGCGGGCGTCTCTCTCAAGGGCAGACAATGAGAGCAGAAGGCAGACACGTCCCGCACATGTCCCCGTTCACAGTTGAACTAATTCTAACGGCTGTACACTGTTTATTAATCGGCCGTCCGCGAGCCCCTCCTAGCTCGCCGACGGCGAGAGAGATGCCACGAGGGGTCGCGGTGGCGTCCATCGCCAGGCTCCCTACCTCCTGTATCGGGGTTATGGGGGGTTTACGAGGTGTGAACGTGAACAGAGTAGCCAGATCGCTGTCGATCGTTACGGCACGCATGGGGGGCCTCCCGGACGTATGATCCTAGCCCAATAAGCGCCACGGAGCAGATTTGGATTTTTGACAGAATTAAATGCACTGCCCCCGCACGGTACTAACGATCGTAGTTTTGGGGGCGGCGCCCCTCACGGCACCACACTGACGCAGGACAGCCCGAGATTAGCCTAGCAGTGACTGGGAATCGCCTGCCGGTCGGCTTGGCATGAGCCAAGCACTTGGGTGGCCGTCAACCGAGTCCGAGCGGCGCCTGAGGTGGGTGCCACGGCGTCCGCACGAAGGCGTGGCGGGGTGAGGAGCCAGGGGTGGTGAACACCTCCCCGACGGGCGCGCGGCGCGCCGGATGGTCCGCCGAGGCCGCCGCCGCCCCGGCGGCGGCGATGGGGGCGGCGGCGCCGACCCGGCCGGCGTTTGTCGGCTCCACCTACAGAAGAGCAGTCTCTGTGGGTCGACGATACTAACTCGGTAGTAACGCTGAGCGGTGCTGTGCGACGCCGCGTCGTGCGCGAGGCGACCTCCTGAGGCTACCTGAGCTGGCAATGGATGCCACCAGGACGCACGGCTAGCAGGAGCCAGTCGGGCATGCCCTGCTGTGGAGCAGAGCCTGCTGGCGCACCGGCGATACTAACTCAGCGCGCCGCGAGAGGCGAATCTCGGCGACTTTGGAGGCGCAGTTCTCGAGGTTGCCGTCGACGATTGATGTCGGGTAACTTGTCACTGCCGTCCGGGAAGCTCTTCTCTCAGCAGGCCGAGCGCCGTGGCATCGCGCGGCTCGCAGCGCTGTCCCGGCGCCGAGAACCCCCAAAACTCGCGAGACCTCGATACTAACAAAGACTACGATACTGGAGGTAGCTCAACCGACGACCCTTCGGGATCGACGGCCGATCGTCATGGGGCGTGAGGCTCTCTAGGCCTGTCTGAGTGTCCTCGCACATAATGAGAAATAAAGAGAGCCGAGATCTCACATAAGAGAGGTGGGCGAGCCGAAGGACGCCGTACAAACAAACACACGGAGGTCGAAGAAAGTGAGTTAGGCGGCTCTCCTCGCTGCGCACACGAATTCTTTTGTTACGGGGCGCGCCAGTCCCGCGGTCTAGAGAGTTCCCGTGCCCAGCGATCTGCACTGGTCTATTGTTTCTCCACCTCAGACACCGACTGCACGCGCTTCAGCAGCGCACTTCCACGTCGGATCTGGAGCGACTTCGGGTACTCCTCAAAACACAAAAGACTTCCGTGATCTGTGATCTGTAAGGGTCCGCCCGCAGGCGCATTTTGTATCGACTATCGTACCGAGGCGGTGCCCGGTGCCGAACCCGCTTAAGACAGCATTGTAGACCCCTGGGCGAGGGTGGTGGAGAGGGCGGTCCCCGTCGGCGCCAAACCACATCCCGCCGAGGCGGGCAGGTTCCACGCGTTCCCGGACTGCCCCATTGGAGGTAGGCCGCTCGTCTAGCCAATCAGCCTTAAGCGAGCGGCCTGGCCGTTGGAATGGCCGAGTTTGGTGTGGAGTTGCGTCCTCGCCATCGTTTGTGGTTACAAGCAGCGTTATGAATGAACACGTTATCATCCACGACACACGTTCGTCGGGAGGGGGGAGGGGGAGGGGGGAGGTCTGTGACCTACCTAGTAATCCGAACGCCGAAATTGATCAAGAAGCGTGAGATTCGACGCCGAAGGGAGCAGAGCACGCCCATGTCGTAGCTTGATGTCCAGCTTGCACGGCGCGCGCGCGCCGCGGGGCTGGGCATCGAGCGCGCCTGAGGGGCCAATCGTGCCACGCGCGGCCGCGCGCACGCGCCTCGCGCGAGAGTCGCTGTTTTGGAAGTAGGAGTGCGAGGAGAGTTTCGCCATTCTCGCCGAGAAGGCGAGGGCAGTTCTCGCCAGCCACGCCGCTGCGGCCGTGGGCGGGTGGGGTGCCTGCGCGCCGCGCGCCGCCGAATCGGCCCGATCGCCCAGGCCTCTCCGCCGCTGCTCGTCGCCAGAGAGCTTCTCGGCGTCAGAATGCTCGTTGTGGAGCTGCATTGAAGCCTCGCTCTGAGTCTTCTCGACCCCGCGTCCCGCCCCGGGCGTCGCGCCGTGGCGGTGCCAGCAGGTGGGCTCCGGCGCCGCCCCGCGCGCGCGCAAGCGCGGCGGCGACGCCTCCGCACCACCCGTGCCACCGCCCGGCCGAGCGAGGAGCAGGAAGACGAGCAGAGACATGCTGTCTCAAGGGTTTGTGCCAGTGCGCGCCAGTCCCGTGCCCAGTGTGCGAGGCCATGGCGTTGAAAATTCTTTTCTCGAGCCAGTCCCGTGCCCAAAGAAAGAAAGAAAACACACAACCCAAGGGAGGGATGGGAGGACGGCACGCCGCCACCACACAGGGATTTTAAGGAGAGGTGTGTGATGCGCTAGCCGTCGCCCACCCTAGGGAGTCTGCCTCTTCCTATCTCTCTTCGCAGTCTCTCGCCGCTTCTCGCTGCAGCCTTCATGCCACCTCGCGGTCGTCCCACTCTCGTCGTTCTCTCCCTTGTCATTTCCTCCTCTGTCGCGTCGTTCTCTTCTGCGTCGTCCTGCGACGCCGCCGCCTGCCGGTCCCTTGTTCTCGCGGCTTCTTTCGCCTTTCGGCGCAACTCCGTCCTCCTCGCGGCGTATCCTGGCCCCTCGAGTCTATCGAGCTCCCTCGCGCAAGGACCACATTTCTGACTCCCACTCCGATCATTTGCCTACAGGTCATGTTGTTGCTCAGGTCCACTCTCTCTTCGAACACTCGTGCCTCTACGGATGATGCCGGCGCTGGGGTCCCCTTCGGATGCATCGTGACATCTGACAACTGAATTTCCACTGGTTCGTCCTCCTCGGAGTCATCTTCCCCGTCCTCCTTCCGCTCGGCTCTTCGCTCGGTACGTTCGGTGTGGCTCACCCTCCATGCCGTGAACAGGCGCTTTATCCACCCTATATTCTTCTCTCGTTCCTCTGCCCGTGCCTTGGTCTTGTCGTTGTTTCGCACCCATGTCTGTATGGCCATCGAGGCTGCCTTCCCCACTACCTGTAGTTCACTCGTCACCTCTCCCGCGAGCTCCCTTCTCTTTCTTTCGGGTATGGAGTCCGTGAGTGCGGGTAGCGTGCAGGCAATCACGGGCGCTATTTTGTCGTACTCCTCTTCGGCGAGCGCCCCAAATCTAGACCCTTTCGCCTTTAGTCCACTATGCTAAAATTCTTTTCTGGCGCTGGCTCTTGAGTCGGTTCTCGACGCGCGCGTGCAACCGGTCGCGCAGCCCACACATATGTCGGTGATCGGCGCGAGCGTGCTCGCCGCTGCACTCGCCTTATCGCCGACGCCACACGTCGCAAGCGGTGCCCGCTGCCATCCATCATTCGCGCCACGAACGCTGGTGACCAAAACCGCCGCAACGCCGCTGCTGGCTGGCCAGCCGCTCGCGGTCCGTTGGCAGCGAGCGGGCGGTCCGCCGCTCCTGTCCGCCGCCAACGGCGCAGCAGGTCGTGGGCTGGTTCGGTCGGCTGTCGTCGGCGGCGCCTTTGCGGCTCTAGCCGTGGCGGGTCGCGGCGGCCGGCTCGGCCTGCTCTTGCTCCAGACGCTCGCCGTCTGCTGGCCAGCTTGGTCGGCGGTCCGGTTGTGGCGGAACGGTAAGCGCCGTGCTGCGCTGACGCTCGCCTTGTCCGCGGCGGCGCGCCGGTTCTGCTCGCGCTGGTGGCAGTACCTGACGATTCCACTCTTTGCGGGCGCCGTCGGCTGGCTCACCAACAAGGTTGCCGTGGACATGATCTTTTACCCCGTCGAGTTTGGAGGGCTGCGGCTCCGCACGTACCCGAACCAGCCTCTGGGCTGGATCGGGTGGCAGGGGATCGTGCCAGCAAAGGCGGGCGAGATGGCGGCGCGCATCACTGACTTGGTCACCAACAAGCTGGTCGACGTCGAGGTGGTCTTCCGGCGCCTCTCCCCGGGGAAGCTCGCCTCGCTGCTCAGCCCCGGTGCGGCTGCAGCACAGAGCTAGTCGCGGCTGTGCTCGGCGCTGTGCGAAAGGTGCCACCCGTCCCGTGCCAGGCGTCGACCGGATCGCCGAAGACATCGTGGCCGACATAGCGCCCGCGGGCGCCGCGCAAGGCGCCGTCGGCGCGGGGAAGGCCGTCCTGCGGGGCCTCGATCCGGCGCAGCAGGCGGAGCTCTCGTCCACGCCACCGCGTACTCTCGGGTGACCTCGGGTGACCTCGGGTGACCTCGGGTGATCTCGGGTGATCTCGGCAGGCGGAGCTGCTTGCGCTCCGGCACCGGTTCGTCGCGGGCCTCACTCGCGACATGCAGGCGAGGCATGCGCGGGGCGCGCCGGCCCCTCTGCGGTGCGTAAGCCCCACCCGCGCGCGGTCAGGCGAACGTGCGGCAGCTGGTCGACTTCGACGAGATCGTGGTCGGCGGGCGGCGCGCGAGAAGGATCTGCATGACCGATTGAATGATGAAGTGTGGGAGTGATTAGGTTGGCGGGATGGTGCGCGAGAAGCAGCTGCTCATCGACCTCTTCCAGCGCTGCGGCAAGGCGCGGCCGCCGCACGTGGCGCGGCGGGGCGGCCTCCCCCTCCCAAGCCCTCCCCCCTCCCCCCTTCCAGGCGGAGCTCGCGTTCCTCGTCAACTCTGGCTTCTCGTTTGGCTGCGCACTCGGTGAGCCTCCCACAGGGTAGCGTGCGGACGCTTCGTGCCGCTCTGCCGAGCTCCCGGGGCCGCCGCCTCTCTCGCACGCCCCCGACCCGCCGCCACCAGGCGTCGTGCAGATGCTGATCTGGCTCCTGTACGAGCGCGCGTGGACCCTCGCCGTCGGCGGCGCGGTGGTCGGCTATCTGACCAACTGGCTCGCGCTCAAGCTCATCTTCGAGCCCGTCGAGCCCACGCGGTTCGGGCCGTGGGTCGTGCAAGGTGGCTCCTAGGGTTAGGGTTAGGGCTAGTTCGGGCCGAGGGTCGTGCAAGGTGGCTCCCGGCGTGGTGGCTCCCGGCGTTGGGAGGCCGCGCGGGTGGCGCGGGAGGACGCACTGCGGCGACGCCTCTCCCTAGGTCTCTTCCTGAAGCGGCAGCACGAGGTGTCCGAGGAGTTTGCGGAGGCGCGCCCTGCGGTGCTGAGGCAGAGCCACCCAGGAGCGGCGTGACACCCCTCATCGCACGCAGGCGATGACGGAGAAGCTCCTCTCCTCCGAGTCGATCTGGGACAGCGTGCTGCACGGCTCGGGGGGTCCAAAGTTCGCCGCGCTCCTCCGCGCTCGCACCTCCGAGTTCATGTCCGGCGCCGCGGTAAGCCAGCACACGCACCCGCCGCCTCTCCCGCACCACGCCCGGACAGCCCTTGCGCCGCTCGCCCTCGCTCAGGCTGTCGTCTACAGCGGCTCAGACCCGACGGCGTTCGGAGGCGCAGCGCACTGGCGTGGCCTCGAGGAGCGCGCTTCGGAGCGCATCCTGCAGCTGCTGCCGCGCGAGCTGCCGCTCGCCCACGGCTACATCGACGGAGCCCTCGACCTCAAGGCGCCGCACCGAGAGCACGCCGAGAGCACGCCGAGAGCACGCCGAGAGCACGCCGAGAGCACATCGAGCCCTCTGCCTCAAGGCGGTACCGCCCGCGGCCACACGCGCACCTCCGCCGCCGACTCCCCGACTCCCTCCGCCGCCGACTCCCTCGCACCGCGCCCCTCCCGCATGGCACCCCGTGGGCTCCGGCGCAGCGCTGATTCCGTCGCGCCCAGCAGGACACGCTCAAGACCAACCTGCGCCGCCTCTCGCCGCGCGAGTTCGAGGGCCTCTTGCACCCGATCTTCCAGCAGGACGAGCTCACCTTGCTCCTCGTCGGCACCGCCCTCGGCTTGGGCGTCGGCTACGTGCAGGCCGTGCTGGACGCGCGGTCGAAGCGGGACGACCCCAACTACGATGAGCGTGGCCGCCGGGTAGAGATCGACGTCGATGCGGATAGCGCCGTTAGTGAAGGCGCCGACGGGGACGGCGAGGCGCCAGGTCCCGCGTCCTGAGAGCTAGAAGTTGAGCTAGCAGAGACACTGGTGTGTGGTGAGTGGTGTGTGAGTCTCTTCCCCTGGCGCACGCGAGACGAGAGCGAGAGTAGAACGCGGTCACCGCGTGTATAGAGAGTATCCGCGCGTACGTCACAGGGTCTTGGCACTTGCGGAAAGGGCGAAATACTTTAAACTTGTGCGTTCGTTGGCCGCCGCGATGGCTCAACGCCAGCGGAGCGGACAGGCGCCGAGGCGGGCAGACCCAGGTCCCACGTCCTCGTCACGTGCCACGTGCGCACGTCCCAGCGGCAGCGCGTGCAGCGCGAGACCGAGAGTCGCCACGGAGCGATTCTAAGATCAGGTCTGCCACCTCCCCACTGAAAACGGACATCTAAGTTTCAAATCTCGAATAAATCTCGAAGCACACTTGAATGCTCACTTGGCAGGTAACATATGCGCCACGCGCCCCAACCGCTCCTCTGGTCGCCGCCGGCCTCCGCGGCGGCGGCGATGTCCCAGCGCCACCCATCGGCCAGCCCTCAGATCGATCGATCGGCGCTCAAAGTCGGCTTCAGATCCGAGAACGCTGCTGGCGCCGCCGCCGATCCCAGCGGCGACGCCAGCAGCTTCCTCTGCTCTCCAATGCGCCGAGAAGCGACGCGGGGGTGTTCGGCCCGCCGTGGACGACGAAGGCTCCGCCGGGCGCGCGTCGGACGGTCCGGTGGCACCCTCTGTGCGCGGCACCTGCCGGCGCCCCGACGACAGCCGTCGCGATCGGCGCTATTCTTTTTTTTAAAGCAAAATTCGAGCCAATTTGAGGAAACTCAAGCGGGCAGGCTGGAAGCACTGAGGGACGGCCGATGTCCGCCCAGTGGCAGACCTGATTTTAGAATCGCTCCACGACTCGTCCGCACGACAAAAGTTAAGTGTTACGAATACACAGACAGAGACGAGAGAGAGAAATAAGAGAGAGCGCGCGTGGAGCTCTCGGACGCGGAGATGGAGACAGACACTATCAACGGAGAGAGGGCTTCAGACCGCGGGTTCTCGTGCCGGGTCGAGCTCGCAGAGCGATGAGCTCCCACCGCGTGGCCGCACAACGGACCGCGCGCCAAAGACGGCACGGGACCGCGCTTGCGACCGCCGCTGCAGCGGGTGCATGTCGCCGGTGCTTAATGCAGCTCCGCGGCGCTGGCCGCTGTCTTGGTGAGGTACGAGGGCTTGGGCATGAATTTGTCCGTCATCGACTCCATCATGCGCTCCCACCAGCTCTGCTTTGCGCGGTAGACTTGGATGAAGTGGCAGTACTCCTCAAAGGTGATGGTGCCCGAGCCGTCCATGTCCGCCGTCTTGAAAAGCTCCTCCTGCTCGTACGGGTAAGGACACATCCCGCTGTCGAGCATCGCGCTTCGAAACTCCTTGACGTCAAGCTCCCCAGATTTGTCCTTGTCGAAGTGCTCGAACGCGGCTGCGAAGCGTTTCCGCTCTTCCGCCGTGAGCGGCGTGAGGGCCGCTTCCGAAGTCGTCGCCTTCTTCTCTGCGCTGGCCGCCGCGACAGCCATGCGCACCGTCTCCTCGTCCTTGAGCGTGCAGTTCACCGATTCCGCCAGCTCTTGCAAGCCCGAGAGGCCCCTCCCCTCCGCCTTGTCGTACTGAGCTTTCGTGACGCCGTTGGCGAGCAGGTACGCTCGGACCTCGCCCGCCTTGAGCGTCATTGCTGTGACTCCGGCAGACCGCGATCGCGGCGCAAAGAGTCGGCGCCGCGGCACCGTTTCTTTAAAACCATCCGTTGTAAGAGAGTCTGGGCCCGCCGCCTCCGTCGGTTTTCGCGTTTCGGCTGCTAGGTCCCAGGATTCCTACCCCTGGCCCTGCTGCTGGGGTTGGGTTTCAGCACAATGAGAGATATTTTTAGATCGATTTGCATACCAAACAACTTCACACTCACACGTCATTGTTTGTCAGCACAATCAACTCCCCCCATTACACACAGGTAGAGTCCACAAGGCAGCAGTAGGGGGGCGCGCGGCGGCGAGCTCCTGCAACCACATGCACACAAACCTCGTGCTGATCGGCGCAGCGGCATGCGCGGGGATGCAGCGCGGGGGTCGCGTGGCCCGCACTGCAGGGGTCGTGGTGCTTTGCTGCCGTTGCGGCCACCGCCGGCGGGCGAGCTCCTGGCGAGGTCAGTCAGGGCTCCTCCACCTCGTCTGCCGTGTGCGGTTCCGTTGGCTGCACCGACGCATACGCAGCCGGCTTTAGCGGCGCGTCCGCGCTGGCGTCGCTGAGGGCGCTGTCGCCTCGCGAGGGGGCGACGCTCGCGAGGCAGCTGAGCGCCAGCTGCTCGCACAGCTCGGTGGGTGTGCTGGCCTGGGCTCCGTACAGAAAGACGGCGCCGATGACGAGCACGACGCCGAGCATGAACTGCGCCGTGATCTGAAAGTCGAAGAGCAGGTACGAGCCCACGGCGCCCGAGACGATGGCGAGGCCCTGCGCGAAGGAGCGGAGGATGTTGTCGGCGTACCTGAAGCAGGCGAAGCATGCACGGGGTGGGCGCGCCGGGCGGGGGCCAGCGGGGCCAGCGGGGCCCAGCGGGGCTCGGGGCGTGTGCTAGCGCACTTGATGATGACAGCGACGAGCAGCCCGCCCAGCGCGTTGTTGAGGACCGCGCACCAGGTCCAGAAGCCGAAGCCGTGCAGCGGGCCCTGCCTCGCAATCTCGTCGTAGTCGTTGATCAGGAGGCCGGCGACGGCGATGACGCCTGCTCGGCCACCCGGCCGGTGAGGCGGGAGGGAGGGGAGGGCGCGGGCCGCGGGCCGGCCGCAGGTTGGTAGAGGCGCAGCGA